AAGTTAATTGAAATATCAAAGTGTTAAGTATTAGTAAATACAATTAATTATACGTAGGCTATTTCAATAGAGAAAATACCATAAAGAATACAAGGTCGTAACATAAAGACAATCTAATGTATGTATAAAGAGATTACTAAAAAGTTAGCTTACAAGTTGCTGAATTTTATTTTACTGATATGTGTTTCAATTGATTATTCAAGTAAACCATATGATGCAATCTATAAGGTAAAAAGTTCAATTTTGTTTACAGACACCAAATGACATAAATAATTAAAATAATTTTAAAAAAAAATCATACATCATAACTCAATTGAACATTAGACAATAACTAAATTTAAAGTATTGATAACTTCAAGGTTAAATTTAATCTCCTTAAGCTGAATGTACGTATAATTAACTATACAAAAATCAATCACAGTTTCTAAGATGATTAGATCATTTCAATAGTGAAGATCATGAGTCAATTGAAGCAAGACCACCATGGAAAACCTGAAAGCACTGGATGAAACAACCGTCCAGTGCTCCAAGGTTTTCTATGGTGGCTTAGCTTCAATTGATTGATGATCTCAAAAACTGAAATTACTAAAATCTGTTGGAAATTGTGTAATATTTTAAGATGGTGAATAACAAGTACAAAACTGTAATAAGGTAAGAATGACATAAACTCTATACTGTGAAACAAGCGAAATCTTCTATATTGGCTTTTATTAACAGAAATAATAGAATGTAATGTAGTGAACAGAAAACGGGTGGGGACAATTGAATGTGTTTAACACAAAATTACAGGACTTGTTAATAAAATCTAACAATCATAAAATAAATGCTTAATTTGGAAAATGTTCATCGATTGTCTCAAAATGACTCAGACTTCATTGTTCCTGCATTTTCATACAAATTGCACCCTGTTCCCATTCTTTACTGTTCGATCCTCTTGTCTCTCTGCTGTCAGACCTGTTCACGACTAACATCATATACTACTTATGTCAATATAAGTAGCACACACCACAGTGATTCTGATTCACAGATTTACCAGAACATATTAATTTCTTAAAAAGAAAATCAAAATATCTAGTTTTGTGCATAATATGACAAGTGTACGATATTACAACTAAATACATAACATGCATTTCTTTAAAAATTTAGTATAGGATTTGCATAGGGGATGTTGGTTCATTTTCATTTGCTTAAAATTATGAATAAAAAGGCTTCTAAAGTCTCTTAAAAGTTATCTTATCAAGTTTAGAATAATACAAATAAATAAACAATATGTTTGTAATATCCCAATGCGTAGAAAAATTAGAATTTCCGATGTTTTGTGACTTAGTGTAAGCCACTTCTTCATTATTTATTCTCTGAAGAAGTGGCTTACACTAAGTCACGAAACATCGGAAAGTCTAATTTTTCTACTCATTGGGATGTTACAAATATAATAGTTTTATTTATAACAATCTACCCAGTTAAAGAGGGAGAATGTATTTGTAAAATCTCAGCGAAAGGATTTGAAGTAAATCCAACTTTTCGCCTGGCAGTCTGGTCCAAGCTTTTTCAAGGAAATTATAATCAAATAACAAAATTTTCGAATGTAAATACATACAAAAATACATTCATCCTCTTTAATGTCTCACATTAACTCGGCGCCAAAATATTGTGAAGCTATTCATTCAAATTTAGACGAAAGTTCTTAATTCTTCTACCCAATGATCAATTTATTAGAAATTATCAAATCAAACCTACAATAATACAAATAATAACAATAAACTAATAGCTTAATAGTGTTTCCTTGGTTAACAGTATGGTTTTTTTCTAATAATCTAAGAAAAATATACTCAAATGTATTCAACTCTGTATTTTTACATTTCAAATCATTTCCATATGATTATTTCCACAAGATCGTTGCAAGATCATTTTAGTCATAATATTTTGTAAGATCATGGTAATCACAAAATCATTTTGGTATTAAGAAAAAAATCAATACATCCTTTTTATGAAATTACTGATGATCAAGTCAGTTTTTTATGTATATAACACAGATTATGATGATTAAATTAAATGTAAACTATCGGAAGAGAAAAATAATCAAAAGTGATAAGATACATTATGTTAGAACACATAAACTAATGCATTTTCTATGAATGATAATGCCTCTAAATATGAAATGATTGTATAATTGTATGATAAAGTAAAAACTTTTAATTGGATTTAGTTATAGTAATTACTTAAAAAGAAACTATCTAAGTAATACAGGTAGAAGATAGTGAAATTTGTTGTATTTGGAATGAATAATGATATTGTAAGACATAGATTTTGAGAAAAATAAGTTGACGAAATGAAAGGTTTTGCTTTAATTGCCGATATGTTTATTGCATTTGTAATGTTAATCACATGTAGAGTACATGTACTTGTCCCATATACTCAAAGTTAATTCAATACTCACATAATACTGAATGTGTTTACAACACTGACCCAGATATTCTGCTAGGAGCCTACTAGTACACTGGATAACATGTACACACAGATATCAATGTAAGGTTATCTCAAATTCTCAATTGGTAATATTCGACACACAACTGCAAAAGATCCCTTGGTATAGGCATATAACATTAATTGCTTATGTATAAAAAGGAACTTATTTTATGATAACGAAACAGACAATTAATTCAACTACTATTCATATAATCTACACACTTTAGTGTATTTATAACATTTTACAGAAACCTTACACTTTGAGATTGATTTCACTGTACATTCTTAAATCAAATCAATCAAACAGATGAGGATCAATCAAATGCTCACTTCATTGAGTATAGAGAAAGTTCAAACTTCATTTAAATAGTTTTAAGTCTTATAACTTTATGGAATTTGACTCATGAAAAGATAGGAGATTAAAAATAAAACGTGGAAATCCTGAATAGTTAAAGATAAATTATTTTGAAGCTATCCAAAAAAGAGAGTCTTATGTATATAGATAATTTTTTATTCATTTGGATGAAAAGAATTGAGGACTGATGCACTATTAGACATGCACGGTAGTTGAAGTCGTAAATGGTGAATAAGGTTTCAATTATTTTCTTAAAGATACTAAGAAAACGCTGTTCATTTGAGTACATTTGGTTTTGATTACCTCAGTTATGTAACAATTCAAATGAAATTTCGTATATACATTCACGTGTTCAACCCTACTTTTGTTATAATGAAGACTTGCATGTATTGTGTGATCAGTCACGTGCATTAATATAGCTAAATGATAACTGTTCACTGTAAACCGAACTAATAATGTAAAGCTTCAGGATGGATAGCTATCGAAAAGACTAGGCTAACTAGCAAAGAAAGTTGTGTTACTTAGTGGAAATTACACAATAATAAGCAAATATTTTTATTACATGTGGATTGTGACTAGCACTGGAACACAGAATGCACACCCCATCCGATTTGTGACTAGTTAGCTGGATGTCCCTAGTCCGTAATGTTGATGTTCGCATTGAAATCGGGACCTAAATATATTAAAAATTTGTAAATAAAGGAATTACCATGATAACGTGCCGAGGATTCACATATTTCAGTACAGACTGGCCAACTATAGCTTATAATATCAACGATGAGAATATTCAATAAACAGAAAACTTAACGAAAATAATAGATCTGATTAAGATCCATTTAAAAGAGTACATGAATGCGAGATTTGGATTTTCGGAATCATTCACCAGCCTACCAACTCTAGACCTGACTATTAGACTTAAATTTTTATTCACTATGTGAAATTCTGACATTATTTGCTAATTTATTTTATAATTTGACGTGGTTCTTCACTATTTTTATTTATACACTTTCCTTCTGGTATTAAATGTAATTTATGACCATGAACACTTTCCACCTACCTATAAATTTCTCTATCGACAACTAACATTTCATTTTATGAAACTAGTTTTTCGTACACACCTATTGATTTATAATTTACTATGGTTACTCATTAATGCGTAGATACTTCAGACATTGTTATGTAGATTTTTGCATACAATATTATTTTATGACTATAATATACCTATGTTGAAAGAAATATCCGTTCGAATGCACAAATTATCGATTGACAGTATATATCTATCATGAAGAATGAATTTTGATGGGAACAGATGAATCAATCGAAGCACCCTTTTTAACAAACCAATTGAAATATCTAAAATTATGCAAAATAGAATTATGACAATGTTTTTTTTTAAACAGAAAAACCTATAAGCTGTAAGATTCATAATTGTTTAGATGAAAATAACAAAAACAAAAACCTATCTGAAGTTTGTGCTGATGATGTCGTTCAGAAGAACGATGAAAGCTCCACGACCAAAACATCCAGCTCAGAGAACAAAAATCCATCAAAATCATCCAGCTGAGCTATAAATCTTCTCTGTCATCACAAAAACCTGCAAAGTAGTTCTCATGATAAATTTGGAACACATAAACTTATAGTTAATCGTTCTTTTCATAGAATCACAAAAAAAGCCTGAAATAAACTACATTATACGTAAACCAGCGATTAACAAAATATCAAGACAATCGCAACTACCAAGTATTAAAATTGATTACTGTGTAAATTAGATACAGAAATTCGACGCTCGGTTTAATCGACTGATCATCAAACTTCATTTTGTTAGTTTATTCATCTCAATTAGCAATCATTATTATCAGTAGTATGGGAGGAAAACAACAGTTCATACTATCATAATACTTTTTATTGTTGAATCAAAATTCATTGTTAACTTAGTCAAGTCTACTCAACACTTTATGTACGTTAGCTAATATGTAAAGCTTTAAAGATCGTTTTATGTGAAGTAGTTTCAATACAGTTGATAAAAGGATAAATTAATCGAAATGTTTTGGTAATGATAACTCCAAGATAAATCATTTCTTCCATTTTACTCAAATGAAAAATGTGAATTCATCGAAAAACCACTAAATAGTAGTAATTAGTTAAGTTTGTACTTACTGAAATCATCTAATAAATTACACTGAAAAGAAGTGATTGTAAATTTGGAAAACTTAATCGACAAAATATTTTAATTACTTTGAAAAAAATGAAAACTTCATTTTATAATTTTCAGATAACATACCATACCATACTAGAGAATTAATTGACTAAGTTATTGTTTCAGTTAAACAGGTTTGTGGGTATCACACTGCCAACGTTGGACTTGATAGTTTCAAATAAATTAAGCATTGGGTAGAAAGTTAATAATAAATACATCTTTGTGATAACTCGGTGAGCACTTATTGGGATATCATAGAAATATATTTAATACTAGTTAAATGGGTATTTAAATTCGAGTGTAACTCAGTGACAAATTATTGTTTCTTGTAACCAGCTTTGAGCTACACTTCATACCTAAAATCTAGTGATACAACCCGAAATAGGTGGAGTGCAATTCGCATCTGCTTCCCAACCAGCAGTTAAAGATCAACTGTTAAAATAAAGCCCACGAAACAGAATAAAAGTTACGGTTTCTATGTAATATATTAACCAAGTAAAATAAGCTTTAATTAAAACGACCGATCCATTAAGAAAGAACACTAAATAAAAAGTATTTTCACTTGAGATTTACTTTTATCTAACTAAAATTTCTTTCAGGCGCATGTCCATCTAATGAGGTGGGGAAAAATTATGATAAAAGTTTGGATTGCGTAACATATTGCCGAATTAATGAATATTCCAAAAATATATGATTTATTTGGATAGTAAAATTAACAAAACAAAATATAGTCATTAGAAGAAATAATATTTTTAGAGTATGATATCATTTAGTTAATAACATAAACACATGCTAGTTGGAACTCCTAAGTAAGGTGTACATATAATCTTGAGGAACCCGATGTTTCCTGTGGAGTTCAAACAATCGACAAGAAATCCAGTTTGACAAATTAAAAACATGGACTAATACATTATCATGTTTAAAGTAATCAAGAATGTCTAGATTAAAATAACAAAATTGCATTTAGTTAACAGGTAAAATTGACAGAACCAATAGGATAGTTGAGTTCTACTTGAAAGACTATACTGTACGCAACATAAAAAACTCAGTTCCCTACTGTATTTATTTAGTGTTCTATTCTCAACAATATCACTCTTCACTGATTAGTTTTATATGCGCGTTGTGTTTCGTATCTACGCATCAGCAAGCTACACACAAATTTCGCTTTTTAATAGGAGCACAAGTAATAAACAGAAGTGCTGAGAGCTGTACTCGCTCTTTACTAGATAATCAGATAGAAATTTCACTTGCGTTACAGATAGCTGAAGTCGACACTTTTGAAACATCATATTCGTTAGAAAATGAACAATAAAAACGTATTTTAAGACAATTCCGAAAACAAACATACTAGTTGACTGACTATGAATAGAAAAGAATATTTATCACAAAAATAACCAAAAAGCAATATGTTATTGTTTCGTGAATAACCACAAGTCATAAGTGTACATTAATCACAGTATTGACAGATTGTTGTGGAATAACTTTTAATTCAACAAAGACATAACAAATCAATTGTTAGAAGACTTTAAATAAAGTAATTATTTTTCTCACAAGAAAAAAAATTATCACAAAGTACTAATATTGAAGGATTGAAGCAAATCAATGAAACAAATTCCATAACAACAAGAAACAAGATAACAACGATGGGTAGTAAGGTGTAAATGCTAAAACAGAAAAGAATTCATTTGACAGTGCTATTTTACTAGATAAGTTGACTATTCTCACGTTCGCACCTCAAATTGACCAGCTTTCGTTGCGTATTTGACTCCTTTAAATGGTTTATATTTCTAAAAGGAGAAAATAGATAGGAACACAAATAAAAATAATATTTAATAGAGAATTATGGGTCACTTAATACATATTTGTAAGAAAATTAACAATCACACTGGAGTTAGTCACTTGATACAAAGATGAGATAGCGAAAAGAAAAAACGACCCAAGAAGTCCAACATAGCCCGCAAGAACAAATAAATTGATTTCAAATCAACGTTCTCTGTTATTTCAGTTAATTCATTTTACCACAAATAAACGAAATTAAGCCTTGATATATATACATCGGTTTACTGGATAACAAATTATTCAAATATCAAATAACTAACAAGCCGTTAACTTGCATGGATGCATTTGTGATAAAAAAGATTCTTAACTTTGGTTTTAGTAGATCACCCCCAATTACAAAGCCCTTTTAAGTTAAAAAAAGCGGGATATCCAACTAGAGCACAACTGGGCAAATAATATAGAAAATAGGGGGTTATGTCCTGTGACTCTGTCAATCAGCACGTGAATCATATGATCTTATCCCCGTGTTAAACCAACGATGCGTGAACCAGAAACATGAGTCAACTCTGAGTCTTTATTGGTCCTCTGTATAGCGACTTCTCGCCTACCCAGCCCGTCCAGTTAAGAACACAAATATCAACCTCCGCTATATGAATCGTATATTTCAGACATGATTGGTTTATATATAAGCACACCAGTTCGCACCACACTATTAAATAAAAAATAATAATTATACAAGATCAGGTCAGAAGTGGTCGTGAATGAGAGATACCGTAACTGACAAATTGGGAATAAGTTAAGAAGTCATATAACAGCAGCCAATAGGTCAAATGAAAGCTCATAATAAGAGGAATATATATATATAATGTAGTTGCTTAGTAATTACACAATAAGAATATATGTAATAATGGTCCACACGTAACTCCAAGCCGTTACCGTTCATTTATTCTTCGGATATAACAGTGGCACAGTATATCTTTTAGAACTAAAAAATAACTACTTGTAAGTAGTTCGAATACTCACATTAATTATACGGCAGTCGGCCATATACACACAAAAAACAAGTATCTGTGAGAAACTATTTTAACTGATTATCTGTTCACACGCAATCGAAAAGAAAATTGGATTTGATTACTAATGTGAGACGTAAATAAGTACTAATAAATGATTTAAGTGCAATTATATGCCGGTCATCTTAAGAGCTAGTAAAGGCCTTTATTGTAATATTTCAGATAAAATAGGATAAAACATACCTCTCCATAAATGTCAACTCTAGCAATTTTCAACCCAGATACAACGAATTGTGGAATACAAAAGTTTACGACGATTACAGGATTTGATGGTAATGTAGTAAGACCACTAACTAAATCGATCTACAAGGATTTTAAGAGTGAGAACACATGGTTGGAAAGGTTATAGGATATAATCTAATTTAGAAAGTGATTAGCAGGAATCACTAATTTTAATATCACAAACTGACCTTATTTAAACAACAGTTTAGGACCAGGAAGCATCGTAAAATGTCTTACTTCTAAGCAATGTATATGCGATCCTACCGAAAATCGAACATAGGACCTTCACAGCCTCGCAACGAGAGCTTAACCTTTGGACCAATAAGTTGGCATCCAGAATAACAATCAACCCAACTTATGCTAAAACATTAGTAACTTGTCTGAACAAGTCTAGAGTTATGATTACAATTAGAATAATACACTCAATAAGACATTTTAGAGAGTTATGTGGAAGTTACTTTGTGTAGAAACATCTTTTATTCATTAAAAACCGATAAATTTATTGTTCACTTGTTCGATTCGTTTAGTTGGGATGGGGAAGGATTTTGCATGACGGGTGGGGTTTATGAGCATTTATTAACCACCATGAAATTATCAATTGACCATCTGATTACTTTTCATTTTAATTACTACATTTTTGCAGGTTATTTAAAAAAAAATTCAAATGTGAAATACTGAAGATTATGATGTATTTACTATGTTTAATTCTAGCTTTTAGTTTTTACAGTTTTCCCCTTAATCCATAAGATACAACATAACCATTACAAGATATGCAACAACATATCTATTATCCAATTTCCATAAATAATACCAATCTTTACTCAATATGTCATGTGAATTTACTGTTAAAGTAATTCTTAATGTTACATAAAACAACATTTATTCATTAAGTATTATTTTTAACACATAGATATTGGTACAAGGAGGCACCAAATACATATGCGCCACACAAATCCCATTTCATTTGTGAGAGGGATGTGATACTGCCCGGGTGCCCAAACCGAAGCAGGTGGTTTTCTTAGAAGGCCACACCCGGAGCCTTCGACCTGAAGGACTGATCCACAAGGCAGTGGAGCATCGTAGGGAGATGCAGTCCCATGGAAGCCGGAGACCAACGATTGGTTCATACGACATTTATTCCCGAAGGATACTGGAGCCCATGTGCACCATTGGTTTGGAATTCGGTTAAAGCGCCGGACATTCGCTTTTCGTCCTCTCATTTTCGTAAACAACAGTAATGCCACGAAAAGGCAGTGAGTAGGACTTCCCTGGCAGAGGCTATATACGCGTGGCCATGTGAGAGCATTTCGAGAGGGAGAGCGGAGTCTCTCCACTCTCGGCCGTACCAGGGTATAACATCTTAATTTAATTTGATAAAAATCAACGCAAGGTTTAAACTTTAATGCTTGATCAAACTATTCAAAGACAGTAGTCATGGTGGATAATGAATTTTCAAATATATGCACTTTTACTGCAAACTAGACAAATGAAAACATTAGGAAATTAAGTAAAACTCACACTACTTTTCATTGAAGGATTTGGAGATTTTGTTTCAATTCGACCAATATCCCATTGAAACAATTTTGTTGTTACATCAAAACTAGTTCGTCCAACACTTGGAGATGCTGTGATATTTAAAACTTCTGGTGGTAACTGGATGGTAAGTTTTACATTTTCAACCTGTAAGAGGTGGGAAATCAGCATGAATAATATATAATTCGAATATAAAGTAAATACTCTTGTATAATCCTTTTTCGCTCTGTAAATTGGCTGAAAGTTTTTTAATTATTTATTCAACAGTTTAAGCATGTTAAAGTTCTAATCTAATCAGCTTTTACCAGACGGTAAAGCTTACAATTTAGTATATAAACTTGTACACAGTTATTAATTCTCATGAATATGTTGCTGACGGTAAAACTTTGATTTTTTTGTTTTAATTACGCTACCATTATTCTCTCTATATTAATCAGAGTTAATTATTTGATAGTGAAAAAAAGTCAAATGATTTACTGAACCGATTATCAAATTTAAAACTGCAGGTTATAATTGTTTTACAAGAATAACACTGATTACAGTTGACGTTATAATAAAGTCAAAAAGATCATCTATATCAGCTCCAAGCACAATGAAATATAACTTGATTTTAACGTCTTTTATCAGATTTTTACGAGGAAATAAATAACTATTCCGGAGACGACACTCCCGATCATTTAGTTACTTCAAATCACTTATTATTAACAAATAGTGCACACGATGTCAGGTCATTTAGGCTAGTATCAATATCAGAACTTAATTGACAGAATTTAATCAGCGCAAGAGATTGGATAAGTATAAAAATTAATTACTACTCAGTGGTCGGTTGGAGCAGATATCTGAGTGCATAAGTGTATATTTAGAATGATTTGTGTAACTTTTTTTTAAAAACAGAAAGACAACTAACACGTCTGATTAAAAAAATGTGATATGAGATTATTACTGTTTACATAACTCTACATGAAGGTTTTTACTTACAGGTTTACCCATTGTTTTTGGTACTACCACTACATCTAAACGACCTCCACGTTCACGGAGAAGAACATTATGTCTTAGTATGATAGGAAGTGATACAGGGCTATTATTGATTCGTAAATAAATAAAAAAAAAGATATTTTGTGTTAAACTGTATTGAGAAATCTGTGAACGAAATTAACATCCTTACACAATAATAATATATTTTATGAACAAATGACCAATTAATCAAGTTATTTTTCTTTAGATCAATAAATGCTTCGATGCAATTAATCTGAATGAAGTACAAATGAACGACTTCTGAAACTTAACAAAGCGCCGGATATGGTTTTCAGATTATTTAAGTTGTAGTCATCAAGATAATAAAGAATGGAAGTTTCACAATAAACAAGAAGATTCATTTCTGTTAGTGAAGGAACTGTATGCTTAGTGTTACTTTTTTTTATTCGTTTTTATGATGATAAGAAGGCGGAAAACCTGAATATATTGAGTAACAATGGAAAACGCCTTATCCCTATTACAAAACAATATAGTACGACTTAGTTAATGAACATGCAATCTTTCCAATAATCTTCGTGCTTTTAATTCAATTAAACAGCCAACCACCATGGGTTCGCACTATTATACATAAAAAAACCTTGAAAACAGTGAAGTATCAAGAAATACTCCATATAATACAATGTAGTGTTGTATAGGAATAGAAGGAAAATCAGATGATCAATAATCAAATAGGATAGAACTGTGAACACTAAACAGTATGGTTAAGATAATTTATAAACAGAAAAGATACATTAAACCGTTTCTAAAACAAAAAGCCCTTTAGTATATATCAATAAGTAATTCCAGACACCGTTCGATGCTGCTTTGTGTAAGTGCGAAAATCTGAACATTATCTGAAGTGATTAAAAGCAAGGCAATATACAGATTTCCAAAAGACCCCTTATTACATTTTACTCACCTTAATGAGCTTACATGATAATTGAACAAACAAAACTTTCCATCAGGCGGTATAAACGATAGGATTCTTTCTCTCTTCCAGCGTGAGAAGCGAATACAAGGATGAAGATTGGCATCATCAATCAGCCGATGATTTGTGAAAGCCAGTGTTATATCTGGAGTTCCGGATAATTTAATTAGACATTCAACCTATTAGCGAACGATGAAAAATATGATTAAGTATTTGTCTGGATACTACTTACAGATAGCATTCATCTTGTGTACGAAAACTGAATGCGACAGCCCATACACATTTCAAATAAATAACATACGGATGCATATAGTAAGAAAGTATACTAACTGCAGAGATACACTTAAGACTAGTCAAACTACATTTATAGACTTCCCAATGTACAATAAAAAAGAAGGTAGGGGAAGTAATAAAACCATTCAAGTATACTCATTCAAATATTCATTAAGATTAAAACTGTTCAGCTAAAATGAGGACCACAGATATTCTTCTGCTAATATAATTACAGTGATAACGTAACCGAGCGATAAAGAAGAATATAAGCATCAACATCTATGGTTAAAAATATCTAACAAGAGCGATTCCCAATACACTTTTTAATATGTAATTCAGATTTAATGAGTCCTATTGGGATTGCGATGGAATCTGCTATGTTTGAAGCGATTACGAGTTCACATAGTCTGAGAACGGAACAAAGACTCTGTGACCAAAGACCAATAAGCTAGATATTCTGATGCGTCCCAGCCCCGCTGACTAGAGAGAGAAGTTTGAAACGGGGAAATATATTCCGCAAGCAGCCAGAAGCACGAGCAACCACGACAATTCTAGTCGGAACTATATTGATTTATATATTGGTTTGTGTTGTATTAATCTGCTCACTGTAATTTAGACACTTGATCCACCATGTAATTTTCTGTGTGAGTCTGATTGAGCACATGTCAATTTTTAATCTATTCTCCGATTGGTTGTAATACACACACAATCAATAATTTATCCATACTTGATTAACACTCATAAATATATATGGGTTTTTAACACACACACACACTCTTGGTTTTCCTATGTGCTTGCTTCTTGTACGCTTGCGGATTTTACCAATATTTAACAATAAACTATCTCTATAACTGATGTTCAGGCTTTTGAGTAATCTCGAGTAAATCCATAATTCTACTAAGAGATTTAGCCTGCATTAAATACTCAATTAACGGGATACTATTTATTGGAGTCAAATGTAGAGGATACTATCCTCTACACAAACACGACAAGTCTAGTCGGAAATATATTCATTTATATATTGGTTTGTACACTCATTTTTGATTAATAATCAGAATAAATCACATATATGAAAAATACTTCGTACAAGAATATCGTATGTTATACAGCATAAAATGTCATAGGGGAAAAGGAAACAAATACTACACTGAGTGATCATTAAATTGAATTAAACGGAATCAATGTTGAATAAAAATCATAATGATTAATCACTTTAATTTTGACCTTTCATCCCGTCATAACAGAATCACCACTGGATCCTCTTCTATTACATTTTTTCATAGCCACTCTACAGAATACTGTTCTTCAATCAGCATAAGATATATGAATTATATCCTGATAGTTTATGTCGCGAAGAGTGAACTAAATGATGCCCTAGAGAAGTTCAATAATTCTCACCCGTCAGTTACGTTGACAGGAGAGCTCAGAGTTTATTACTGTGTTTAACGGGAACGAAGACTAGACTCTGTACGTTGTTACTGGCCTCTTTCTAATTATGTAACCGATCACTAACATCTGTTATTTTCAATCAGACTTTATTATTTATTTGGACACATAAATACTGGTACAAGGAGCACCAGATATATAAGCGCCACACAAATCAAATGAGATTTGTGTGAGGGATGTGATATTGCTCGGTTGCCCAAAGCGAAGCAGGTGGTTTTCTTAGGGGGCCACACCCGGAGCCTTCGACCTAAAGGTCTAATCCACAAGGCAGTGGAGCATCGTAGGGAGATGGAGTCCCATGGAAGTCGGAGACCAACGATTGGTTCATACGCCATTTGTTCCGTCAAGGTACTGGAGTCCATGTGCACCATTGGTTTGGAATCAGGGTTTTCCAACTCCCGTAGGTCGACTCTCCGTGTTCACCAAACCGTTTAAAAAGCCGGACATTCGCTTTTCGTCCTCTCATTTTCGTAAACAACACCCCCTCCACGAGAAGGCAGTGAGTAGGACTTTCCTTGCAGAGGCTATATACTCATGGCCATGTAAGTGCATTTCGAGAGGGAGAGCGGACTCTCCCTACTCTCGGCCGCACCAGGGCATTTGGAGGTAACAGACTTATTTACTAAAGACCTATCTATTTGGTTGTAAACTAATTTATCGAATAACTAAAAATACAAATGTACAGCTTTAGTAAATGCTGTTATCAATGAAAACATCTGTTCACTGAGCCATTTCGTTAATGCTGATTATTGTTCTTGACCATTCAACAACAAATATTACACTAAAGAACATATAAAGACCTACTGATCCGTGAATCTCCTTGGAAATTACATAACCAGAACGATCGATAATCGCGTCTATCTTTTCAATCAGGTCGAAATACGTTTCATTGCTAGTGTAGTTCACACCAGAACGTCTCCAACGTATATTCGATAACTGGTTTGTAGGGAGTGTGGACCCAATAATCGTGTTTTTTCCAGTAACCGCATCTGTTAGTGATTGAAGGAAGTTGGGAGGACGCACAATTTCTTTTAGAATATTAGATTCGGTGGCCAGTGGGAAACCACCATCAAGCATTTCATCTAAAATCTAGTAGTATGAATTATTTTAACAAGGGGTATCTAACCTCGTATATTGAAACTACATTTTCTTTGATTGATGTTTCAGTAACGGAGCCAAAATAATCTTCGATTATTGAATGAACGCAATCTAAAAACTCAATCACGAGTAAGGGAGGTACTAAGATAGTATGGATTATTAAATACTGACGACATACGCTCATTAACACACACAGCTAGAAAATATAAATTGTTGCGCAAAATATGAATGAGTGAATTGCTTGGAGTTTCTAGAACGGGTGGCACATCACCTGCTGCATATTTTGTGACGGCATCAAAAAAGGTATCGTAAACTGTCTTTGAAATGTTTTTTGTCCAGTGTTTTTCTAAACATATTTCACTATAAATGGATAAATGAGTAATTCGATGATTACTTCGACTGATTTATAATGAACAAACTTTGCAACATATTCATACATTCATTAAAAAGTCTTGTAGTTCCTAATCACTGGATCTAACATAACTACTGAAAAAGAAACAAAAAAGAGGAATCAGGATGATTTTATCCAACAGATAAAGAAAAAAATTGTAAGTTAATACACTTACGAAGTCATATTTTACTTTATTCTCAATTATTAAGTACAGATTGACGAATCCAACTAAGGGTTAAAGTAATTTTATATGTGTACTATTCTACGCTCTTAAAAATGTAGATAAGGATTAAAATCTGGTACGAGAACCTGTATCATCATTAACTTCTATTTGTCAAATAAGCTTTAAGGGATCATCGCGCTAGGAAAAAGACTCGATCACTAGCAAGCGACTAATGGTTCTATTCTAATATAATTTACTTATTCCCTTTGGAACTAGTTTGCTTCCAGTTTACAAGCAACTTGAAAAACAAGATTTGGGTCAGGTCTGAGGGTTCATTGAAGGCAAATAGTGTAGCTATATATAAGATAGGACTTCGCATTGTTAATTCACATCAATTAGTCTATTTCACCAGTTTTTTTTCACACAATCATCCTTTGTAAAAAAAAAACAACCTTACTATTCTGCGGACTAAAATTAACCAGTTACTTACATTTAAGGAACTCAGGATTAACATTGGAATGAAATGGATTAAACCATAATTTCTATGGTCTAATGCTTTACAACGAGTCAAGAGCACAAGCATGATGTCTTATTATACAATATGTAAGTTAGTCAAAACGTAGATAATCAGTTAGTAAATAATATCAGTAATTACGACAAGCATTTGTTAGTTTCAAAATGAAAGCACTCCTTTAAAATTGAAAATAGCCTATACCTGTACTCACACTAGTAAATTGCTGAAGATGCCGTGAAACTAGTCTAGTGACGAAAGACTGGGTATACAGCTCATTGATGATATGAGTCCTACTCCACGCTTTTGATATGAGGATGTTCGGTGACTCCATGCACAACCACCTCTTCTCAGGGCTGTGGTGGACCAAACAATATATAAACTCAAAAATGATAACAGAGTTATTAAGTACAAATAGTAATGCTAATATATACCAGTTAAATGTTATAAACACAACAAAAATTAGAGACGTTACTTAATTCAGCAGGTTTGTGTGTGTTCTGATTGAGTCTGGTACCAAAATCCACAATTATAGATGATTGAAGATTTCAGTAAGGTTGATGTCCTCCGAGTGGTAAAACCAAATGTAGAATATGATATATTCCGATTATAGTCTATAAATGTAGACAGTATTTGATTTAGAGTTCAGTTAACACAATCACGTGCGAATGAAGAACAAGACGTGTGGGTATAGCAGTGTATTTGTTAGCAGTTAACAATGTGTCAAGCTATGAATGTAACACGACGGAAGAAAGTGTGTCCAAGGTCATACACTTAAACAACACGTACAACAATTTAATGATAAATGTACATGCAGTATAAAATTCGACAGAATAAATACAAATAACGTCAAAAACTATTTACAAAATAAGCTTATCAGGCCTATCTCCAAATAGCTCCTCCCAGATTGTCCGGAGGTAACACTGGCTATAATAATAATAATAATACCAATAATAATAATAGTAATAATAATAATAGTAATACCAGATTGTAAGAATATGGCATATACATGTATGCAAAATAATATTTACAGTAATAACCAAAAAGAAAAGGTGGAGATAAGTATGACATGCACATTAGTAATATATAATGTGTTATTGTGTAAAATAGCATTGATGTAGCATAGCATAACAACCGCAAAAGAGATTGAAAATACAGTCATTCAAAGTCTTGGTTTGCTAATTATAACAGTAATGTGCAAAACTGTTAATAAGCCCATATGAAAATTGAATTGTTTATTTTTTTATATACAATTAATAAATAATTAACTAAAATTCACTCGTTTATTATTGTGACAGATTTTTTTCTGTTTTTAAAAAAAACTGACAAAATGGGTAATTGTGGAAAAATGTAATTAATTATATACACGTTTTAAAAAAATAGTAGATTTTATTGGGAAATTGGGTGAATTTAACAGTGTAATACATCGATAACTGTTTGTTTTGATTTTTTATTCGACAAAATGTACATAACGTTTGAGTTTCTTTACAGTCCTGCCTGAACGTGTTAAGCAAGTAGGTTTGGTACTCGGTTTTTCATCCTCTTCTGCTCTAGTAGTGGTTAGTGGGAGGGGTTAATTAATTGCAGTGATATCTTCTTTGTCTTGTTGCGCTTCGTAGAAGGCTGGCTTTATTCTATCAATAGCGATAGTCTCCTTCTTTCCGCACTTGTTGATTATAAAGTGTTTACTTGTTCTTTTGATTACTTGATGTGATCCCTCGTAAGGTTGTTTTAGTGGCTTTTTAACAGTGTCAACTCGAACGAAGATAAATTTGCATGTTTCTAGGTTTTTTGTCGAATTGTATTCGATTATTATTATCATCTGAATGTGATGAGTTGAGGGGATTCACTGGGGGACCAAACAATATATGAACTCAAAAATGATAACAGAGTTATTAAGTACAAATAGTAATGTTAATATATATCAGTTAAATGTTATAAACACAACAAAAATTAGAGACGTTACAATTATCTGGTGAGCCTTGAGTGTATTATGGTCGTTGCCCGATCGAAGCTGCTACCTTGACGCGGTGGTCGGGCTTGCCTATCGTGATGACCCAACCGAGCTATATTGGCTGGAACATATGTTCCTGCAGGTTCTACCATGCCAGGCAGGTCGATTGGCGAACGGTAAGACTAAAAGCAGCAACTCAAGGTCTGAGGGCGAAGTCGTACTGCTGACTGTAGAGAGGTGTGACAGCAGTAAGGTGTTTCCCTCGGACAACCAGCATGACAGCGATGCTGCCTTCCCACAAGGAGGGGTGGGTTTAGAAAAGGTCGATCCTAAAAATGCACACCTCACCTTACCTCACGGATTTCCGTCTCCGGCGGTAAGGCCCCTTGAAGAACGGAGCTAACACGTCAAAAACCTTCCACAAAAAGGCCGTGCGCGACCGGCCTCAAGCAATTGTCCCTTGGGCTCTGCGGTCACGCTCCCAGGTCGTCAAGACCAACACTAATCCAATTTCCTTTTCAGGTTCATCAAGAAATACCCTTCCACGGTGTGGGCAGCCGGGAAGTGACATCAGCCCTCATACCCGTAACAGCACAAGAGACCAAGGTGGTCACATTCAAATCCTTCCTACACCTCCTAATACCTCTCTTATCCTCCCGACTAACCCTCCTCACGTCTCTTTATCACCTCGCACCGCTAGGGCAAACGATTCGAGTACGTGGAACGCCATTCCTGGTCTCCTGAAACCACGCTCTAAACTACACGTAGGAGCTTTTAACGTACGAACACTTTGCCAAATAGGACAGCAGGCTTCTTTAGCTAAAACTTTAGAATCTCGCGCCATCGATGTGTGCTGCGTCTCCGAAACGCGCATACAGGATCCAAGTAGCGTCATTCATTTGACCTCACCATGCCAAAATAAAGAACCGACTCGATTTACGCTTCGTGTATCTGGAAGCCCTGATTCTGCTTCCCGTGGCCTCGCCGGCGTAGGTATAGCATTGAGTTGTAGGGCAGAACTAGCTCTCTTAGAGTGGATCCCAGTAAACAGTCGTTTGTGCGCTGTCCGACTGAACGGAACAGTAAGAATCCGGAAAGATAGGGACACTCGTCGTTGCCTCTTCGTCGTCTCAGCCTATTCTCCCACTGACTGCAGCTCAGATGATGTAAAAGATGAGTTTTACAGAAAGCTTTCGGACCTTCTCCGAAAAGCTAAGCGCTCGGATGTAGTAATAGTGGCCGGTGACTTTAATGCTCAAGTAGGTAAACTAAGCGATAAGGAAAGACACCTAGGTGGATCCTATGGTGTCGTGGCTCAAAGAACAGATAATGGCGACCGTCTGTTGCAGCTATGCTCAGATAACCGCCTGTTCCTTGCAAATACTAACTTTAAGCATAAGGAAAAACATCTTTTAACATGGCGACCCCCTAATTCGTCCCAACGTTGGACCCAAATAGATCACATCGCTATCAGCCACCGATGGAGGGGCTCGATAGAAGACTGTCGCTCATTCTGGAGCACATGCCTAGATTCAGATCATGCTCTAGTGCGAGCGCGTATCTGTCTGCGTCTTACTGGACGTCGGAAAGACGCTCCAAGGAAACCTCTTAGGGTCCTACTTAATGATAGTCAAGCTAAGAGTATATTTCAGAGACAACTAGGAGAACAGTTAGGCAGCCATGTATGTGATGCCCACCCCGAGGCAGCATGGAATGATATCCGAAAAGCTGTGGAAACAGCAGTGATATCTGCTAGTAAGGTAAACCGTAAAGTTAGGGAGCAACACTGGATCTCAGCAGCATCTATCTCACTGATAGATGCTCGAAAACTCATTCCACCTGGCTCTGAACATAATGAAGAGCGGAGTCAGCTTAAGCGCAAGCTGACAAGAAGTCTACGCAATGATCGCGAACAGTGGTGGGTAGCGAAAGCAAGAGAGATGGAAAAGGCAGCGGCAATAGGTAATAGCAGACAATTGTTCAGACTCGTTAAGGAAACCGGAATTAGGAACCCGACCGTTAGCGAAACAATCTCAGAGAAAGATGGACATATTATTCATTCTCAATCCAGGAGATTGGATCGATGGGCAGAACACTTTAGGGATCAGTTCAACTGGCCTTCAGCCACACTTCAGTTTCCCACGATCTCCAGTCAACCTGAATGGCAAGTTAATGTAAGTCCTCCGTCCCTTTACGAAGTTGAAAAAGCCATAGGAAATCTGAAACGAGGGAGAGCAGCAGGCCCTGACAGGTTTACTCCTGAGATTTTTAAGGATGGTGGTCCAGTATTAGCAATGAGATTAACTGAGGTCTTAGGTAGAATTTGGGAACTGGACGTAATCCCATCTGACTGGTCTCAATCACTGATTGTGCCAGTCTATAAGAAAGGACAAAAGTCCTCTTGTGACAATCACAGAGGAATCAGTTTGACTAATATAATGTCTAAAATATTAGCTTCAATAATACTTCGACGCCTAACCAAAGCTCGTGAAGAGCAGACTAGAGAAAACCAGGCTGGTTTTCGACCTGGACGTGGTTGTATCGATCAGATATTCACACTACGTCAGGTTCTAGAACAGAGACACACATTCAGACGCCCCACAATCGTAGTATTTCTCGACCTTAAGGCGGCATTCGACTCCGTTGATCGTGAGGTTCTATGGCAGTGTTTGTCACTGAAAGGAGAACCAAAGAAGTACATTAACCTTGTAAAGGCTCTCTACTCGAACACAACTGGTAGAGTGAGAGCTTTTGGCGAACTGTCATCAGAATTGATCACCTCAAGTGGTGTTCGTCAGGGCTGTCCACTCTCCCCATTCTTGTTCAACTTTGTCATTGACGTACTTTTAGAGATAACACTCTCCTCATCTAAATTTACAGGGGTTGAACTTCTACCAGGAGGTTCACTTGTTGACTTAGAATATGCAGATGACATAGTTTTATTTGGTGAAGACGCTGACAAAATGCAGAGTCTTCTGACCATTCTAAGCAACAATGCAAGCATGTTCGGGATGCGATTCTCTCCCTCGAAATGCAAAATGTTGCTTCAGGATTGGGTTACATCGACACCCGAACTAGTGATAGGGAGTGAAGTAGTTGAGTGTGTCGACCGCTTCACTTATCTTGGAAGTCTCATCAGCCCTTGTGGTTTGGTGTGTGACGAAATCTCAGCACGGATACAGAAGGCTCGACTAGCTTTTGTCAACTTGCGTCATTTATGGCGTAGGCGAGATATCCGTCTATCAACCAAAGGACGTGTTTACTGTGCAGCAGTTCGTTCCGCCCTACTTTATGGCAGTGAAACATGGCCGGTAAGAGTAGAGGATATCCGTAGGTTACTAGTATTTGATCAAAGGTGTCTTCGAAACATTGCTCGTATATCATGGGACCATCGAGTAAGTAACACAGTTGTTAGGAAACGGGTACTAGGTAAGGATGGCAAATCAATTGATGACGTAGTGAAACTTCATCAGTTGAGATGGCTGGGACATGTGTTACGTATGCCCAACGACCGACTGCCTCGACGTGCTATGTTCAGTGGTATAGGAGTAGGTTGGAAGAAAGCCAGGGGCGGCCAAACCAAAACATGGCACAAGTCCATGAAGTCACTGACAAGTGAACTGAGTCATGTTGGTAGGTGTAGACTACCTGGTTGGGGACCGCGAGATGACAGCAACCGATGGTTAGAGACCCTGAATGACATGGCTCAAAATCGTTTGCAATGGCGCAGGTGCATCCACTCTCTGTGTTCTCCCAAACTCTAATCTTCTGAATTCTTCATGTCCCTTTTTTCCTCTTTCCAAATCTCTTTCACTGGATTATACTCTTTAAATAACATCTCCAAACCCTAATCCTCCCGATTACTGCTTATACTCTTATTACCTGTATCACTACGGGATTTGAATCGACAAGTGCATCTCTGTGCTAATGTGGTGTGGCAACTTGAACTGATGTACGTACGTACGAAGTTCTACGTTGATACTGACTGACTGATTATGGTCGTTGTATTGCTTACATTTTTACTTGACACACTAG